AATGTAAATCCCACAGTGAGACTTAACTGCGTCGTAGATGTTGTGGTCAACTAACCGCTGCAAACCAGATACAAGTTGTGATATAAGTGCTGCAAACTGCATAAGCACTTATAACCACACCCGCACATCCAAGTAAGTGCTCTTGGTGATAGAACGCATCTGACTGGCAACTCTTGATCTTCCTTGGCAGCCATCTTAGCATTCAAGAAGGCTGTTTTGACGTCGAGTGTGCTGGCTTCCCACTGAAGCTTTGATGCAGTCCAAACCATAATCCGGAATGCAGCAGCATCTGCTCCGGACGAGAAGGTCTCTTCGTTCGGATCTTTGCTCTCAAAGTTCCCGCACACCACCCATCTCACTTTCTTCCTCCCTCCTTTTTTACCTGGCTTCTTCGTCCAGACAAGCTTCGAGGGAATGATTTCAATTCGCAGGCCTTTCTTTCTAGCTTCATCAATCATTTTTACCCTTTCATTCTTTGGGATGGGCTTGAGAGCTTGTTTCTCAAAGATCAACGATGACACCTCTTCTTCTGATGGTTTGTCACTGTCTCTGAACTTCGCTAGATTGTCTAGGCTATGCCTTCTAAAGAGTCTTTGAGTGTAATCACGCAAGCCATCTATGACGATCTTTTTGCATCATTTGAGTCACAAGGGTGCCTTAGGCAGCACATACGCCTTAGTGTCTCTGAATCGCATCAGATCTTTTTTGTCTGTCGATTTCCTAGCATGATTCGCACTGACCGACACACCGACAATTTGTTTGTAATAGGGGAGGATGAGCTTATAGTTGTGCTCTTACGGCAATATCAGGCACACGGCCAGTCTCCATTGTCCTGTATGGGGTCCAAGGATTCATACAAGAGCAAATGTTGCAGCTTCATCATCAGGCTGACAACCTTCGTCAGATTCTACTTCTCCATGAGTGTTTTCTGACTGCTACGTGCGTTGATCTCACTGTTGGAGTCTGTGCTTTCTTAAAACGACATCTCTCTCGCACCCATAAGATTTGTAAGTATAAGAACTTCGATCTCGTTCAGACCTTGTCTGCAAAGACCTTGTCCAGCCAAAAAACGGGCAAAACAAAAACCAAACAAAACCACCCAACAAAAACCGCCCCAAAAACAACAAGAACAACAAAACCAAACCGCAAGGCCGGCAAGGAGACTCAGGTAAGTCATGCAAGGGTGAAACGAAGGGTGAGAACTAGGTCTAGGTGAAACATCTGTGGGGCAGTGAATTATTGCAAAACGCCTTGGAGTGAGCGATCTTGAACGCAGTACTGACTTATTTCAGGCATCCACTAGTGCACTTGGTTCGGTGGCCTGTTTACACAGGCCATTGCACAAGGCATTCAGGGAAGCGCATTCTAAGATTCTATGCTCACGTAAGTCTTTCACTTGAAGAGGCATCGGCAATATAGACAGGCGAACTGTTTTCAATTGCAATTAAAAGCAGCGGTCGAACATGAAAGGATGCTCTTGAAAGTGACCAATGGAAAACCACTGCGGTCAAGGAAGCCCTAGCGCGCCAAACGAAAGGGCAATTCTTTGCCAGCAATGTGACCTTTCATGAGTGGTGTGTGGCACTGTCTTTGACTTGCGGTTGACTGTCAACAAGGCAACGCGATGGAGCGAGGATCACCTGCTTCTCTCGTTCATAAGGTGGCTAACCCATCCAGGCCTATTAGCCAAGCTTTGAATAGTGTCAGCAACTTCGACTTGGCTCCAGGCTTATCGTGTAGCCTTTTTGCACTAATTCAACGCCCGCTTTATGTCTCACACTGGTTTCACCTTGCATACACTCAAGAGTCTCTTGCTTTCTTCCTTGGTCGGTTGTGGTTTTGTGGTTTTGGGTTGGTTTGTGTTAGTGTGGTGTTTGTTGTTTGGTTTCTCATGCAAGAGACCCTGTCAAAAACAGCACAAGCTGACCTATGCATTTCCTGCATGACGGCGGCTCCACCCGTGCAAAAAGGCAACGTTTGATCAGGTGAAATGTCAGCCGTGGGACTGTGGACCGCGGTGAAATGTCAGCCGTGGGACTGTGGACCGTGGGTATTGTTGATACTGGAGAGTCAGCAAACGGCCATTCATGCAGCCACACACAAAAAAAATGGTGTTTGTCATGGTCCTGCATTGGAGCAAGTAGCTCGACCAGTTCCGTGTTGTGCAACAATAAGTGTTCATTGAAAAATGGAAATCACCTTGCAAACCCGTGCATGCGTGTGGGGCAAGTGGTGATGGCTAGAGCATTGGTTGATTTCAGAATCAATGAGGAAGATCAGTTTTTGTTGTATTTGAGTCAAATGGAAACCAATACCTACACAAGAACAGGAAACTTTGTTGTTGAGAAGCAAGTGATCATGCGCAACATCCTCGCAAGACAGCAACTTGCACAAACAACCTGGATGATGGGCGATCAACAGCACACGGATTTCCGGAAAGTTTGTGGCGAACCAGAGCGTCGCACAGCCCGAATGTTGAAAAATAATGTTCCTCCAAAATATTGGCCGGAACGCATGGATCATTCGTTTGGAGACAGGTTGTGCTGCACAACGTGCCGATGAACATTATTCAAACAACATCGAACGTATCAAGGTGTAAGGGCAAAACCGTGGTGAGGAAAACTGTCAAGAAAGCACATGACCATGGAACTGTGGTCATGCACGGGGAATGTTTGATGCCAAAAAATTTGAACAGCTGCAACCTTTCGGTTCATATTGGCATTGCATTGTCCATAGGTGTGGGTAACAGAATGGGTTCAAGGACAAAATGCGAAAGGATTATCAAAGTTACCAACGCAGTACAAAAAACAATATAACATGTAGCTTTGTTGGCAATGCATTTGGACGAAACTCAGTGTTGAAGGGTTGATTGACCTGCCGACCTGATCCACCGATGACGGCTTCGTTGGATGAATTGAAGCAGGTGTGGGCTCGGTGGGCATCGGTTTCCATTCCAAGCCGATAAACCTCACCCGAACTTGCGGAAACAGTGGGGAACATGGCCTCCAACCTAGTAGCGATGGCCTCCACCCAGTAGTTTCTTGCTACTAGTAGCGATGCCCTTTGTTCCCAGTAACGATGAATCGGTGCTATTTCCAATGTGATCAATGGCGGAAGAACAAAAATTGACTTTCGTCACAGTCAAACATTTGTGGTTGAGGCGTTACCGTTTCTTCGGGCGGGGTTGCAGCTGCAGCTCGGTGTGTGGAGGTTTCTGCATAGAGTTTGCGGTGCCACATTTCCTGAAATTAGGACTTGGTTGCTTGATGGAGTGTCTTATTCGCCTTATTCCATGCACTCCCGTGGCAAACCAACCACAAAACTGTAAGATTGATGTGTTCTTGAGTTCTTAAACTGTGCGTCATCAGTTTGGGAGGCCTTGATTCAGACCTTGGAAACTCGCGGTGTCTTGGGACAGGCACATTTCGTGGTGTGTTCGGCGCACTTTGGATTTTTGAGAAATGTTTGATAGGCTCAGTATCCAGTATCCCATCATAAAACAGTCTGTCAACAATCATTTTACTTGTCCAACAACTTGGACACTGCTCAGTGACGGGTCTGATATGAGAGTTTGAAATACAATAGATACCATTGTTCTGACACTTTCTGACTCCTGTCATTGGCTGTCATTGCAACGACATTTGATCAGCACAACTAGCGGCTAGTGTGAAGGATTTTGGCTCTGTGTGTTGAGTTCAACTTCATAAAACTAGCCAGTTGGTAGGTGAAGGCGAAGGTTCGCGCGGAGATCTTCGCTGCTCTAGATGACGAGAAGGTCAAGGGGGGTAATCTGCTCAGACGTGTTCGATATTTTGTCATTTGATTGGGGTTAAACACTGTTTCTGCTATTCTTTTTTCTGAAACACGGTCATGAATGCTGAATCTGCTATATTGGGTTCAATTCGCAAAAAACAAGGTCAAAACAAACAAGTTGAACCTCTCTGGTCAAGTTGGTTTCATGATCTGTTTTGTTGGAACTCCTTTTTGAGGCCTTGGCCCCTACTTCCAGTTCTTTCAGACTTCAACATATTAGACCTAATTAATTCCTTTTCTTTTTTGTTTCTAATAGCAATGGCCTCCAACCTCAGAGCGATGGCCTCCAACCTAAGATATTCACACACATCGTCTTGTGTTCTTTTCATTTTTCTTTGCTTCGAAAGCCTCTGGGGAATGCCACTGGGCCAAAGATCCCTTGCCGTGATGCAGACTTTGATTTGTACTCGCAGGTGCAGCGCCCGAACTTGCCACGTGAAAATGCGTTGATCAATGAGCTGATCAGGGAATACTTGGAGTACAACGGGTGCCCCCTTGAGGTTTTCGTTCTTTTCTGGTAATAAGTCAGACAAGATAGTTTCGTTCCGTTAGGAAGATTGCAGGTTTGCAGAAGAGTCAGCAAACTAAGGCATTGCTCTTTGAGGTGTTACTAAGGCATTGTTTGGGGAGGTACTATCACACATTGTCTGTGCTCTTACCAGAAACTGGCCATCCAGAGGCGGCTTGGATTGGACGTTCTCTCAGCTTGGGGTTTGGCTGAATTTGGATGGCAACAGGAGCGGCAATTTGGCCGGAACTTCATGGCATCCGAGTTGGTGGCTTGGAATCTTTGCTTTTAAGTCTTAATTCTGTTTGAAGAGCTTTGAAGAGGATGTTCCAAGCTCCAACCCTTGCAGTGAGGTTGCGAATCCGAGAGGATGAAAGCAGCAGGTTTGGATGTTACCAGCTTTGTGGAAAACACAGAAAGGAAAGGGAAAGGCCGAAAGGACAAAGAAAAGAACAGAAAGAAAGAACGACAGCAAAGACACCTTGCTGTTGGGGTTCTGTGGCATTCACTCAATTGCATCCTGTCACGACGTGATTTCCCCACTTGTCTCCCCACTGCCAACTTGTAAGCTCCTCTAGCGGCATCAATGGAATGCTCCAACACCCAGTGGCCTAATAGCAATGGCCTCCAACCTACTAGCGATGGCCTCCAACCTAC